GGCTTACAGCCTTGACTCCAGTCGCCGCCGGGGAAACCCTAAACCTAGGAGAGAAGGCGAAGAGGCAGGCGGGGCGGGGAGAAGCAAAGCGGGAAATGCGAGAGACGAGTTGGAGGCTGAGGGGGCGAGATTTTGTTCCTTCCTCTCGTCTTCCTTTCCGTATTTATATTCTGGCTTTCCTTTGCACGTCTTCGTTTCTGTATTTATATTCTGGCTTTCCTTTGCACATTGACAATTGTGACCTTGGGCTATATGGCGGTTCGAAACAGCGCGCGGTTACCGTGACAGGTCGGCCCGTTGCCGTGTCGCCTAGAAACCGCTTGGGTCACGCTGTCTGAAAGTGGTAACTCCCTTTTGTTAGGAGTGGTAAAAAGAAGAGTTGGACGTGTTTTGTTGCGCTGTTGGTGTTGTTGGGTTTCTTTTTAAAAGAATCGCTTTCTTTTAAAATATAAGGTGTATTATTATTTTTGAAAAGATAAATCTTTTAAGTTTAATCAAATTTGCAGAGAAATATATCAAAATTCATAATATCATATTGTGTTTTTTAGATTCATCATGAAATGAATTTTAATACCTTTTTTGTTTAATATTGCGGATGTCGATATTTTTGCTTTGAACTTGCTCTAAGTTAAAAAAAATTGACTTTCTAGAAAACTAATACCCTTTATAGTTTGGAACTGACAGAATATTTAGTACATGTGGGGAAGATGATACTGTGTTTTATTTTTGTTTATAATGTATTGATTTGGTGGGCCTTTCATGGTATGATTCTGTGATGTCCACTTACCAATCTATATTTATGTGGAGAAATTTCGGTGTTGGTGGTTGCATATACTATATTGGTGCTACGATATCACATGGTGACACTTCTTTTTTCTAGGTAGTGGGGGTGCATGGGATTGATATGTTTTTATAGGCCAATTGTTGCTGATTGATTTGCAGAATTGTTGGCCTGATCAAAATCGTAAACCAAATCCAAAATTGAATACCTCAATTGAAATAGCTTCAAAAGGAAACATAATGAATTAAAAGAATTGAATGAGAAAGCTTTAGAAATTGTTGACCTAGTTAAAATCAGATGACACAATTCTAAATTGAATACCCTAATTAATTGTGAGGCCTTAAAAGTTAGAAAGCATAATGTATAATATAAAATGATTGAATGAGAGAGCTTCACGAAATTATTGACCCGATCAAAATCGGTGACCCAATTCTAATTGAAGGCCTCGATTGAATGTGGGCTCTTTGAACCTAGGGAGCTTAGTGTTATAAAGGGTTCACTGTGGGAATAAAACCCAACAAACGTTCCTTTTTCTCAAATAACTTGCCCACCCCCACTGGCTAGTGGCGTGGTCTTTGCACATGGACAACCCTGATTTGAATCATAGGATCTCCCTTTTTGCCCACTTTTTTAACCATGATGGCATTTTCTAGAAAAAATTAGCTTGGACTTTATATTAAGAGATGGCATTTTGCGTTCAGAAATAAAGAGATGACGTTTTATATTTTAATAGATGGTATTTTTATATTAAGAGATGACATTTTTGTTTAAGAGATGGCATCTTTGCATTAAGAGATGGCATTTTTAAATTAAGATGTCGCATTTAAAATTATTGAGAGACGATATCTTTGTATTAAGAGATGACATTTTTTGTCTATAAAGAGATGGCATTTCTATTTAAAGATATGGCATTATTATTATATTGCTGCCATTTTTTTCTCTCTTTTGTGCACACAAGGTTTGGGGATGGAATTTTCTGAAAGAATAACAGTTAACTAGGTCTATGGGGCTTGTCAAGGTTCGTCCTGGCCTCTCTCTCGCGCGTGAACTAGATGGGAGGCTAAAAAGGGTTGCTGGGAAAGGAGGGATCGGGCGAACGATTCGATTGCCAGGACCACCTCCCCTGACAATCGATCGCCAACTATTAGCGTCCTCTTTTTGAACAGGTGCCTATCCTTCTGATATTTTATTCTGAGGCAAAAATAGTATGATACCCCGCGCATTGCGGCAGAACTTTCTACCTTCTATATGAGTCTTCAAAGAACGCGCAATTTGGATATGAAGTATGACATCTTAAATATCCAGTGAAGTATAGAAGTACATTTTTCTACAACAATATAGAGAGACATCCAGGAATTCATGTCCTTAGTGGTGAGCTTGGCTTGTCAGAGCATCAAAAGGTGTTTGACCAATTGTTGATCACTCGAAAACAAAATATATTTGGACATAGGAATAAAATATGGGCATTGAGAAAGCATGTCATTGATATCCCACAAGTATAGGGGATCAATTATAGCCTTTTTCAATAAGTAAGAGTGTCGAACCTAACGATGAGCTAAAGGTAGAATTAATATTTCCTTCAAGTTCTATTAGCCACCAATACAATTCTACAGACACTTAACGTCCGTTTTACCTAGAACAAGAATAAAACTATTTTGTAGGTGTAATAGGATAAGTTTGCAAGAATAAAACTACTTTGTATGTGTAATAGGATAAGTTTGCAAGAGTAAAACTAAAAGTACTTAGCTAGATAATAAAAGTTAGTTCGCTTTAGTATATAGCTTTTTGTAACACTAAGAGAAAGATTATCCATAGGCAATTGAATATAACACGATAGATACATATCATATGCAATGAGGAGGAGGCATGAGCTAACATACTTTTCATACTTGGATCACATGCACTTATGATTGGAACTGTAGCAAGCATCCACAGCCACTAAAGATCATTAAGGTAAAACCCAACCATAGCATTAAGTATAAAGTCCCCTTTACTCCCATACGCAACAATCCCCTTACCCGGGTTTAAACTTTTGTCACTCTCGCAACCCACTATAAGTGGGCCATAAACTAGAGAGTCTTGACCAATTCGAAAGATCATTTGGTGTAGTTGAAATAACAGAATTGGAACTTGTTTGGTCAAGTAAGGGAAACTCAATCAAATTCATAACTGTTTCAATAGAATCTTTTCCTTCTTTTCCCTGTCTAAATATTCAGTTAAGACCATTCCAAGGCTCCTTTTCGCCATGCATAAACTAAACCAACAACTAAGATAAGCATGAAAATCAAAGCTTCGATAAAAACGGATACACCCAGTACGTCAAAACTCATTGCCCAAGGGTATAGAAAGACGGTTTTCACATCAAAAACAACAAAAACAAGCGTCATGAACATATTGCAATGCCCTACATCAGTAATCATACACACTTGTGTGGCATGGAGGGCACCATAGGACAACACCATATGAACATACAACTCACATCAATCACACCATACCACAATTAACCCATATGACAAAAAGAATCAACTCAAACATCATAGGATGGCAACACATCATTGTATAATAATATGTGGCATAAAGCACATGTTTGAGTAGAGATTACAGGAGGAATGGTGTCTATATTTTACACATTTTTAGAGCTCATTTGTTGCATGTTCTCTTTATATATCAATGTCCCATTGAACCAAATAGTTGTCCATTATGCATGTTTACCGGTTTTTGCATTAATCATTGTGAGCATTGCACACTTAGTATTTTATTTGGTTTTTATTAGTTTTCCATGATTTTTTATGTCTATGGGTGTTTTGGAGAAATCTAGGACCAAGCATGATGAAAGGACCAAGGATGGGATTGATACGAAGTCAGCCAGGGGGCAGACTTAGAAATTTCAAAAGTTGGAAAAAGTCATTTTTAAGTGCTCCGAATCAAGATCTAAGACCAGAAATGGATCAGCGTCGATCGTACGAATCCAATGAGCCCAAGAGCATCAAATTCCGAGTTTGTATGGACAAATGGAGATCATTTTACCGGAGAAGGACAACACAAATCAACACAAAAGACGGCGTTCCAAATGTCCGCACGCGGTCGTTTGATGTCCAGATAGCTCAAAAAGATGCCCTTCCAAACGAGATTCTTCTATGATTTTGCCCCCGTTCGATCCCACGAGATCCTTGGCTCGTAAAGAAGAGATTGGGAGAGGATGACGCCCCGAGACCGATGCTCCAATTGCCTTCATTTATTTTCGTTGATGTTGTGTGTTACAATTGTTTGTTGCCTTATCATAATTATTTTGCATATTTCATTCCTCTATGTTCGTTGCCATGATCATGATGAGTGCCATTGTCATATTTTGCTTCTTACATCATGTTCATCATTTGTTATATTGCATTGTGCCATCCATGTTGTTGCCATGTGCATTTCATCCATGCTTATGTGGTGTGTTGTTGTTATGATGTGTGTGATCATCATTCCTTGCCATCTCTCTCTCAAACCATGCCCATGCATCATCACCTCCTTCCGTCTTCTCTCTTTCATGTTTTTGCAAGTGACCTTTTCCCCTCCTCCATAAATGTTCATTCTTTTCCTAATGCTAGTGCACATCATCCTTGACATCTCTGCCAAATTTCATCTCATTTGAAGTTGTTTTGGTTGGGTTCAAAAATGGTCAAGTTTGAATTTTATTCAAACTTGTATTATTTTTATACCTCTAAAATTTCCCAAACCAATTTTATAAAATCCATCATATTTCCAGGAGTTCAGCAATATTTTCATCTTGGACTTACCCCTCTCCAAACCTTCTGCACATTTCTGTCTTGTTTCCTGTCTGAAGGAATTATATTGA